ATTACCCCCGGAAAAGCGATCTAACGATCAACTAACAACCGGGTTAGTCAATCGACGGATCGCTTTTCCAGGAATCGAACCGGGTCCTCTCGCTTGCGAGGCGAGCGCTCTAACCACTGAGCTACACCATTTCCACTAAACAGCATGGCAATCAACGAGTGCCAATATAAAATACCTTGTATATATCATGACAGCTCCCATTCCTCTGGGGAGTCATCCCCTCTCACAAGCCCCTGTAAGTGAAGCTACATGGAATGAGCCAGTCAAGTGATGGTGAAAAAGAGTTTAAAGAGCACAAGAACGGAAGAAAAATAAGAGTAAAAATATTTCTTGAGCGAAACCCAAGATTGTGTTTCAGGAGTACCTTAGTTCACGCAGCTTACAAACCAGAGCTAGCCTGTCACAGTCCAATTGAACCACTACTACTGGCAAATAGACATAAATATATACCGGTTAACCCCCTCCACCCCCCAGCTTTTCGGTTTACTCATTTGGGGAAAAAAAATTGGTCACTGAATCCACAACTGTGTGTGAGACATTGTCGTGCATCACATTTCGCCCACAAATACAGTCAAACCACCTGTGAAGCGCTTTGAGACGTCTCGAAGATGTGATAAGGTGCTATATCAAATGCAAGGATTATTATTTATTATTACGAATAACTTATGCCCAATGACCTATAAATATGAAAGCTTCACAACAGACTTGCTCTGCAACTTTGGCCTTTCCAACCACCAGTTTCATTTTCAGGAATTTCCTCCATCAGAAGCAAGTCCTCACTTTTTAAGGATACAGCCACTAATAATACAGGATTTAAAAATATATACTTTTAATGCTCATCTGGGGCCGATAAATTATTTATACACCAGGTGATTAGCAACATAATACACAATCCTAAATCATTTGAGCATTACTAACATTTATCCCCTCTCCACGGTGAAATATGTGAAGTCTATCCAAGATTAAACTCTATGAATGAGGCGTCGTGTATCCGATTCCTGGTTCAAGTGGAGATAATACATGATGGGAGGCGCAGACAGACTCTGCAGCAGACTCCTGCAATCCACCAACGTAGCTGTGCAACAGAACCACAAGCTTGTACTCATCCCCATGATAAATAGCTGCCTCCCTTTGCTCCTTCCCCCAGATAATAATGTGTTTGCTTCCCTCTGCCTCCGTCCATCTTGATCTCGCTCTCTCACTTCCTCTGCCGGTTGTGGCTCTTAACTACCTCCAGCTCTTTCTCCATCAGGTGGGATTCCGCTGTTGTTTCAGAAAGCTAGACGGGAATGAAAATAATTTATTACTCGCCACTTTCCTCAAAAACATTTGGCAAGTATAGGCTCAACACATGTAGCTGTTTATATGAAGTCTCTGGTGGGGGGAATCCAGAACAAAGGTGGCATCATCTTAAAGTTAGAGTTGAGCCATTTAGGAGTGAAATCAGGAAGCATTTTTTCACACACGAAAAGTAGTGGAAATCTGAAACTCTCTCTCCCCCAAAAGCTGTGGATTATGGCTGGATCCATTCACGTTTTCAAGACTGAGGCGGATAGATATTCTTGGGACATCCTCCCGACGTGAAAGGCGCTATACAAATATAATCTTGTTGTTGTTGTTAGGTCACCGGGGCAAAGGCGGGTAATTGGACTTGAGGTATGGATCAGCCATGATCTTATAGAATGGCGGAACAAGCTCAAGGGGCTGAATGGCCTCCTCATGTTCCTAAGCAACACTCCACTATGCGGTTGCAGAGCAGAGTCAATGTTTTCTTTCAAAAGAAGTCGCAGTGAAACACTACTTATCCACACTCAGATATGGAGGTAAAGTCAAACCCCGACGTCACCCAAGAATATTTGCGGGGAATGCACTGACCATGTCAAGGAGAATGTCGATTTTCAGCTGCAGCAGATTATTCTCCTCCTCCAGTTGCAGGTTCCTCTTGCGCAGACGCTGCACCTCCTTCTGTGCACCATTGCCTCCCACGGTCTCTACCGCACAAAAAGGAAGAAACCTGATTAATAATAATAATAATTCTTGCTTTTGATATAGCACCTTGTCATGTCTTCATGACGTTTCAAGGTGCTTCACAAAATATACTGTTTGATTGTATATTTTGTGGGTGAAACGCAGCAGCCAATTGCGCACAGCAGCGTACCACAAACAGTCGTGGCTTGAGTAACCAAATTATTATTATTTTTTTGAAGGAATTATTGTCCCGGGAGAAGGGATCCACCAACCGGGTTCCTATTTACTGCAAGGTAAACAGAGGCATGTGGAGTAAGGAAACTTGCCCAACCTTTGGCCCTGGAATAGAATCCAGGTGCTCGCCCTTGCGAGGCGAGTGCTCTAACCACTGAGCTACAGGACTCCACACTAATGAGCCACACTATACTGCCAGTTAAAGATCAAGCGTGAGGAAAGCATGAACTCTCTAGCTCGGCCCTCCCCACTCAGCTCCCTCTCTGACAGGAACGTTGCATTGCAAGATGCGGTTACAAATGTTCATTGTGATTGCATCGTTGATTATTGATTCCAACACAAACTGCTCAGAGAAACTTCCTGAGTAATCAATAGAGAAGGTAAATATTGTCGGGATGGAAGTGCAAGTGCAGTGTGACATGGTACAAGGTTATACTAGATACTAGTATTTAATCCCTGTTCTCTGTTAAATGCTAATCCCTGTTTTGTGATAAATGATTTGATCTGAGATCTGTTGCTTGTCAGGCACGACAATTGCCCTCAGTGTCTCTGGCTAAGGGAGGTGGAAATAAATGAATGCTCTGACTACTGATCACCATCCAGCAAAGTACCAACTCTTCAGATCAATGAGAATCATTGCTGCCAACCTTCTGAAAATAATAAAATAATAACAATAATAATTTGGTCACTCAATCCACGACTGTTTGTGTGACATTGTTGTGCGCAATTGGCTGCCACATTTCACCCATTTTGAAATGTCTCGAAGAGGCATTTGATAAGGCGCCTTATCAAATGCAACGATTATTATTAATACTACCCCCAATGTCAGGATTGCGAAAGGCTTTTGAAAGGCAAGACAAAGATCTAGAAGTACTGGACTATTTCAACAAATGGATGTCTGGTGAAGATGGGAATAATGGGTGTATGGAACCAGAAGACAGGAGAGAATATAGGCTATAGAGGTTTATAAGATTCGGACGTTGTGGAAGGTGAGCGCTTTGTAGAAATCTAGTCTCAACGTAATACAAACGTGGAAGAGCATCTCAGATGTGGAGGGGCTAAGAGAGGGATTGAGATACTATCTGCCTCCTTTATACAAAAATGTGTATTACAGACCTGACATCCATTGTCCGTTCTCAAACATCATGTTCTGCCCACCGATGCTCATGACGGGAGAGCCATACTCTAACCCAAACTCCACTTCCCGGGTCACACGATCCAACTGTAACAGAGGCAAAGGAAATGACAATTGATCACCAGAGGCAAATATATCCTATTGGTTCAGGCCGCAGCATTAAATACATCAAATACATCCTAAACAGTACAGGTTTCAGTCGTCTATACAATATATAAGGGTCCTCTGCACAATATATATGGCCTAACCAGTAGATGTATTACAGATTTGGTTGTGCAAACAGTATACAGCGGCAGGATCCAGCTATTCATTTCTATAGTCTGTAAGGTGGCTTCTTGTAAATGGTACATAGTATGCTGACCTTATATGCAGTCTATGGGGGGGACTTTCTGTCATTACACAGAGTGATTGCCTTGCAGATATTCAGTCCTGTATACAATAAAAACCAAAAGCAATAATAAATTGGTCATTTTCAATCTACGACTGTTTGTGGGACATTGCTGTGCGCAATTGGCCGCCGCGTTCGCCCACAAATATACAGTTAATTCACTTTACAGTGTGTTCTGTGAAGCGCTTTGGGACGTCCTCCCGACGTGAAAAGCGCTATATCAAATGCAAGGATTATTTTATTAATAAATTGCAGTATATTCTGTGAAGCACTTTGAGACGTCTCAAATACGTGATAAGGCGATATATCAAATGCAAGGATCATTATTATTACTCAGATAATAATAGCTGTGTGGATAGGAGCAATTGAAGCACTGGGTCGCACGGGAAAAAGCGACAGAAAGAGTGACCCTTTCGCAGTATTGAATAGCTGAGGCACATTATAGACAGCATCTCCGAATGGAAGTAATGGAAGCAATTAATGAAGCGACATGTGTCTGCCCCCACCCTCTAGAGCCTCATCCCGCAGTTCCAACTGTACTTCCTGACGTGAAAGACATGACACAAATGTAAATTGTTGTTGTTGATGATGTTGTGTCAGTCTGACTCAGTAGAAGCCCCACATCAGCACTTGAACTCACATAGTCTAAGCTGACACTCCAATGCAGTGCTGGGGTGGGGTGGGGCAGGGTATTGCATTGTCAGAGGCGCCGTCCTTCGGATGAGATGTGAAAACAAGGCCCCGTCTACCTGTCCACGTGGACATTAAAAGATCCAATGGCGCTATTGTAAAAGAGAAGGGAGTTCCTCTCTCCCCGGTGTCCTGGCCGATAAATCCCCCAAATAAAATGTGGTCATTTTCTCTTCACGGCTGCTTGTGGAACGTTGCCGGCTGCCGCGTTTTGCACCACAAAATACACAGTCACTTCACTGTGAATTCTGGGCAACGCTTTAGGATGTCCTCTCGCTACGAAAGGCTCTGTATCAACTGCAAGAGTTATTTCCAATAAAAACGTGTGACGTTTCAGGTCAATGACCTTTCGTCATCAACCCGAAAGGTTAACTCACTTTCCTCTCTCCATAGATGCTGCCTGACCCGCTGAGTGTTCCCAGCGATGCCTGTTTTTATTTCGGATTGCCAGGAATTTTGCCTTTTGCAAGCATTATTATTGTTATTATAGCAGTGATTTGTATTATTTGAATGTTGCTGATGAGGTTTTTATTGAAACACATTCTGCAGCTTCGGTCACTCCATGTGCTTTCCTTCCTTTCTCAGGCAGTATCCAAGAGAACGAGAAGATCAGCATTGGCCGAGCAGCAACCAACGTCTCAAAATGGAGAGACGAGGACAACGCAATCCCTTACTCACAGGTGAGAAATTCACACGTGGAGGGCTTAACACTCGAGCACAGAGGGAATCAGTACAATTAATGGGAACTGGATGACTTGCCAGCCTGGCACACTGGTAAGCCCTCCTTTTCCCCTCCTCTCCCCCCTTCTCTCCTCCCCCCGCCCCCTCTCCCCCCAACCCCCCCCGTTATTATTGTTGTTGACATCCTTTGAGGCGGAGGACTGACTCGGCAGTGAGTGGAGGCTGAGTAGACAGCTGGCTGGCTGCCTGCCACCAGTCAACGGAGCAAACCGACTGCCATACAGCGGTGGAGGGATAACCCTCTTATTCCCCGGTTTCCCAACTTTGGGAATAGTCAGTCTCTCGAATATGTTCTAAAGTCTCGGGTGTTAGTTTGTTAGTAGTCAGTCAGACTGCTTCCGGATCTGAAACATTGCAGATTCCAACCTCACATCAGGACACGAGCCTCCTCTACTCCAAAATGGTCTCCATGTTTGCCTGGAATCCTAAACAAAATCTTTCACATCTAGACCTCAAAAACGCTTCACAGGATTGACAATAAAGTAATAGTAATAATAATCCTAGCTGGACAAGCAGCGAGAAAGTTACCAGACAGTGATATCAATTGCAAACTTGCTTTAATAATAATTTAAATAATCCTTACATTTGATATAGCGTCTTATCCTGTTTTCGAGACGTCTCAAAGCGCTTCACAGGACATACCAATTGCACTAGCAGGGTCCCACAAACAGTTGCGGATTGAGTGACCAATTTATGTTATTATTTGTAGTGACTGTCGATAAATTAAAAAGTCACTCTAGAATGTACTGCTCTAAAAATACAGGTACTTCTCTCTGTTTTTTCAATCAGTCCTATCCGATAGAATACGGGCCTGAATTCATGAAGGATAAGTTTAATTTGTTCGGGCTCAGCCCTCTCGTTCAGAACTTCCTCCAAAAGTATCACCTGGAGCCCCTGTCTGGAATGAACATCTATGTAACACGGACTGCGATCAAGGGGCTGCCAAAATATCCTTTAACTGCTTTCCTCCATCCCGCAATCTCTTTCCCTCCCTCCCTCCCTCACCTCCTTCAAGGCACGATGCAAGACCCTCTTTTTCGACCGTGCTTCAGCCACCCTCCTACCTCTCTGCCCTCCCTCATCCCAACCCAGCCCACCCCCCCCTCCCCCTCGTGCTCACTCAGCTCTTGATCTGCACCCTGGGACTTCCTCCCGACATGAAAGGCGCTTTACAAATGTAATTTTGTTGTTGTTGTTGTTGTTCCTCTGGTGGGTGGGGGGGGCGGGGAATCCAGAACAAGGGGCATCATTTTAAGATTAGAGTCAGGCCATTTAGGAGCGAAATTAGGTGCCAGTTTTTCACCCAAAGGCTGGTGCAAATCTGGAACTCTCTCCCTCCCACAAAAGGCGGTGGATGATGGCTGGATCCATTCACATCTTCAAGACTGAGGTGGAGAGATATTTGGGAACACTCAGCAGGTCAGGCAGCATCTATGGAGAAAGGAAAGTGAGTCAACATTTCGGGTTACACCCCTTCAACGTTACCCCCCCCCCACTTCAATTGCACTTCCAAGGCTCCTTTTTTCCCCTAACTCACGGGTTCAGATCTGAACTCCTGACGTATCACGACGTGATCGAAGAGGGCTTCAGGAAGCTGTTCACACTGAAGTTGGTGAAGAACAACCTGTACCAACAACAGATCAAGGGGCTGGCGATGTTTAACCGCAAGCTCATAGAAGAACACGAGGCATTTAAAAGGTAGGGCAGTCCTGTTCTCTAAAGCTTCACTGGCCATATCATGGAATCATACAGCTTTATTGGCAGCGTGGAATCTCCTCATTTGGCTCCTGTCAAAGCTCTTGTGGGTAGGGTGGTCCTCGCTGGACAAGCAGCGGGAAAGCTCACCAGACGGTGATATCAGTTGCAAGTTACGTAGCTTTAACAATAATTATAATAATCCTTGCATTTGATATAGCTGGCGCCTTATCACTTCTTCGAGGCGTCTCAAAGAGCGCTTCACAGGATACACTGTAAAGTTAATTGACTGTATGTTTTATGGGCAAAGCCCGGCAGCCAATTGCACCCAGCAGCATCCCACAAACAGTCATGGAGGCAAGTTCTCTAACCACTAACCTACAGGCATCCACGGTCTCAGCTAACCCTTTTTAGCTGGTTAGACCCTAGCAGTTACTCTAACACACACTCTAGGGTCGCCAAGCCTTGGCTCTTGCCAACCTGCGCCTCATACTCTCTGGAATTAGGTAAGAATCGGACGTCTGATTGCGTTGGATATTCTTAAACACACTCCTGGGTTTCTGTTTGCGTCAGACATTCCGGGCAAAAAGACAAAAAATGAATGATAAGGCGCTATATCAAATGCAAGGATGATTATTGTTAACATATTTCACCAGCCTTAGCCTGGTTAACCTGACTGTTCAGCGCTTTGGGATGTCCTCCCGACGTGAACGGCGCTCTATAAATTTAATTTTGTTGTTGTTGTTTTGCGTTGAAACTCACGATCACACAGAATGGTGGGAAATTCTTAAATTCAGTCTGAGTTGGGAGTCCAGGTTTCTGCAGCTCTGCCTGGTCTAATCTCCATGTGTCTGTGACAGGAGGGAAGCAGATCTGCAAGCAAAGAAGAAAGAAGTGAAAACCACGTGCCCATTCCATCCCAAGGTGGGTAACATCTGGGGTTGTCTGTGGGGAGCGGAGGATCTGGGAGGGGTTTACTGGGAGGAGTGCAGCGACCAGCAGAGAGGCGGAGTAAAATCGTGCTGAGAGGGACATCAGAGAGGTATAGTGAGGGATATCAGAAAGGTATAGTGAGGGATATCAGAGAGGTATAGTGAGGGATATCAGAGAGGTATAGGGAGGGGTTCCTAGCTGGTCAAGCGGTGGGAAAGCTCGCCAGGCAGTGCTATCAATGGCAAACTGCGGTTTTAGCTAAGCTATTCGGTTTTAGCTGTGGGTGATTGGCTGTGGCGTTTCGCCCACAAAGTACACAGTCACTCCACTTTACAGTACTTTCGGTGAAGCGCTTTGAGACGTCTCAACAATGTGGTCAGGCTCTGTATCAAATACAAGTATTATTATATTATTATGATGGTGTTTTACGTCTTTCTGTTTTGCAGGGGGAGTCATCGGCTTTGGTTAATATGTCGGCGACAACGGTTTTGAGCTCCTGGAAATGAATCCTCAACGATGATGTGGGGGGGGTGGGCTTCTAGTTGGGTGGCCAAACCCAGGCTTGCCCCTCTCCTCAGTGTAACAGCTCCCCCACCCACCCACGTTGTGGCATCCCCCCACCACCATACAATGTCTGATGTTCTCAGAGGCGAGCCTTTCAAATAAAGTTGGGGCGAAATATTCTATCACCCAATCGTCACAGCAATGGACATAAAAGGCAAGTTATTATACCACGACAACAACTTGCACTTATATAGCGCCCTCCACGCACGGTAGTGCCTCAGAGCGCTTAACATCTGGCCTAACGGTCAACCGACATATCTGGCTGGACCTCCTCAAAATTTACCGCTCCACTCTAACCTCGGCCAAGTCGTCCTTCTACTCCAGGATAATCCTGGAGGCGAAGAACAACCCCAGGCTACTGTTTTCCACCACAACCCGACTCCTCCGCCACCCCGCCACCCCGCGCAGGTCATCTCCTCCAACCTTCACTGCGAGGAGATGCTGGATTTCCTTGATTCCAAAATCAAGGGAATTCGCTCCGCGGTCACTTCCCCTCCAACATCCACCAACCCCCCAGCCCTTCACTCCCACACTCCGACTGCTACCCATCCTCCCCTACTCACTTTTGTACCCGTTTCCCCACCCTCTGTCACCAAACTCATCCTATCCCTGAAACCCACCACCTGCTCCCTTGACCCCATCCCCACTCCACTCCTTATCTCCCAGCTCCACTTTCTTGCCCCACATATCACCGACATTGTCAACCTGTCCCTCTCCTCTGGCTCTGTCCCCATTCCCTTAAAAACTGCCACCATCACGCCCACCCTGAAAAAACCCTCCCTTGATGCGTCACAGCTATCAATCTCCGGCCCATCTCCAACCTCCCCTTTCTCTCCAAGGTCCTGGAAAGAGTTGTCGCCTCCCAACTGCGCTCTTTCCTTTCCACCCATTCACTTTTCGAACCCCTTCAGTCGGGTTTCCGTGCTGCCCATAGCACAGAAACTGCCCTGGTCAAGGTCACCAATGATATCCTGACCATCTGTGACCAGGGCTCCCTCTGCCTCCTCGTCCTCCTCGACCTATCGGCAGCATTCGATACGGTCGACCACTATCCTACTCCACCGCTTGTCCTCCCACCTCAACCTTCAAGGCACTGTCCTTGAGTGGTTTAGGTCGTACCTTTCTCACCGTCTTCACTTTTTCTCGACAAATGGCTTCTCCTCCACCCCCCGCACTGTCTCATGTGGTGTCCCTCAGGGCTCTGTCCTCGGTCCCCTCCTCTTCACCCTCTATATGCTCCCCCTGTGGTGACATCATCCGCAGACATGGGATTAACTTCCACATGTATGCGGATGACACCCAACTCTACCTTTCCTCCTCTACTCTCAACTCCACGACCCCCGATGTCCTGACAGCTGTCTGTCCGACATCGAGTCCTGGACGAGAGACAACTTTCTTCAGCTCAACGTGCGAAAAACCGAGGCCCTCCTGATTGGCTCACGTCAGCGCCTCCGCACCTCAGGCGCTGACACCATCAGCATCCAAGGCTGCACTCTCCACCTCTCAAAGCCAGTCAGGAACCTCGGCGTTTTGTTCGACCCTGAGCTGTCCTTTCTCCCTCACATCCGCACCACAACTGGCACCGCCTTCCATCACCTCCGGAACATCGCCAGACTACGGCACTACCTCACCCCTCACGCTGCTGAAACCCTGGTTCACGCCTTTGTCACCTCAAGGCTGGACTATGGGAACTCTCTCCTCGCCGGCCTTCCCGCCACCTCCCTCCACAAGCTGCAGGTCATTCAGAACTCTGCAGCTCGTGTACTGTCCCGCACCAGGCTTCGGGACCACATCACTCCCACCCTCGCTCGCCTCCACTGGCTCCCCATCCCCCAGAGGATTGATTTCAAGATCCTCATCCTCACCTACAAGGCCATTCACGGCCTCGCTCCCTCCTACCTCTCCAACCTACTATCCCCCTACCTACCTGCCCGTACCCTCCGTTCCTCTGGCTCCGGTCTGCTCCACGTCCCCCGCCCAATTCGCCCTACCATCGGTGGTCGGGCCTTCAGCCTCTCAGCCCCGAGGCTCTGGAACTCCATCCCCCAGTGCCTTCGCCGCCTCCTCCCTCTCCTCCTTCAAGGCCGGTCTCAAAACCTTTCTCTTTGACCGAGCCTTCAGCTCCCCTCTAGACTCTCTTCCCCCTCCTCGCTCCCTCCCTTCCCTCCCCTCACCCTGACCATTTCCCCCCTCCTCGCTCCCTCCCTTCCCTCACCCTGACCATTTCCCCCCGTCCTCGCTCCCTCCCTTCCCTCCCCTCACCCTGACCATTTCCCCCCTCCTCGCCCCCTCCCTTCCCTCCCCTCACCCTGACCATTTCCCCAATGCTCGGGTCATGACCCAACTATGCAGCGCCTCGGGACGTCCTCCTGACGTGAAAGGCGCTTTATAAATGGAATCTTCTTGTTGTTGTTGTTATTAACAGTAGTGGAGCCTGACTCTGAGCCAGGTGCGGGCAGGTGACCATAAGCATGGTCGAAAAGGAAGGTTTTCAGGATAAAGGGGAGAGAGAGGGCAAGGCGGAGGGATTAAGGGAAAGTGTTCCAAAGTTTCGGGGCTTAGTGCTGAAAGCGCGACTTCCAATGGGATACTCCAACACCGACCGAATGGGACAGATCTGCCAAGTTACTCTATGTACAACAAAAGTTGTAAAAAAAAGGTTTACAAGTACATTAAGAGGAATAGGCTGTGAGAGTAAATGTAGGTCCACTTCAGTCAGAGACGGGAGAAGTGGTAATGGGGGATAAGGACATGGCAGAGTCCCCAAATGGGTACTTTGCATCTGTCTTCGCCCGAGAAGACACAACAAGTCCACCAACAATAGAGATGCACCAAAGGGATGAGGACAGGGAGCGACTTAGGGAAATTTTCATCAGTAGAGAATTGGTGCTGGAAAACTGTTAGCACTAAAAAGTGACAAATCCCCGGTCCGGATGGTTTGCTTCCCAGGGTTTTAAAAAAGGAGCTTATGAGATAGTGGAGGCCTTGTGTCTGATCTTCCAAAATTCCTTGGAAAAGATGGGGAACTATAGGCCAATTAGTCTCACATCAGTGAAAGGAAAAATGTTTGAATCATTGATTAAGGATGTGGTAGTGCGGTATTTAGGGCACAATATAATTAGGCCGAGTCAACACGGCTTTACAAAAGGGAAGTCATGTTTGACAAATCTCATAGAGTGTTTTGAGGATATTTCCAGTAAACTGGATAAGGGTGAATCAGTGGATGTGGTCTATTTGGACTTCCAGAAGGCATTCGATAAGGTGCCGCATAAAAGGTTAGTCCAAAAGATAAGGGCCCATGGAATTGGGGGGAGCATATCAACGTGGATTGGGGAATGGTTAACGGGTAGGAAACAAAGAGTAGGGATAAACGGGTCCTTTTCAGATTGGCGGGATGTGACTAGTGGAGTGCCACAAGGATCAGTCCTTGGGCCTCAGCTATTTACCATCTACACCAACGATCTTGATGAGGACAACAAAGATAATATATCTAAATTCGCAGATGACACAAAACTAGGGGGAAGTGTTAACACAGAGGATGACATTAAAAAAATGCAGAGAGACATAGATAGGTGAGGTGATTGGGCAGGTGGGTGGGACATGAAGTATAATGCAGGGAAGTGAGAAGTCATCCGCCTCGGGAGCAAAAACACTACAGCGGGTTATGTTTTAAAATGGGAGAGATTGGAATGTGTTGGCGTCCAGAGGGACTCGGGTGTCCTTGTACACCAATCACAGCAATTAGGAAGGCGAACCGTATGTTAGCGTTCATTATGAAAGGATTAGAGTATAAGAGTAGGGAAGTCTCGCTGCAACTGTATAGGGCCCTGTGAGACCACACCTGGAATACTGTGTCCAGTTTTGGTCTCCTTATTTAAGGAAGGATGTACTTGCTTTGGAGGGGTGCAGAGTAGATTTACTCGGTTAGTACCAGGGATGGAGGGGATGAGTTACGAGGATAGGATGACCAATTTGGGCCTATGTTCTTCAGAATATAGAAGAATTAGAGGGGATCTTATAGAAACCTATAAGATCATCAAAGGCCACGATAGAGTAGATAGTGGGAGATTGTTTCCCCGGTTGGAGAAACTGAAACCAGGGGTCACAACCTTAAAATCAGAGGCCAACCCTTTCGCACTGAGTTGACGAAGAACTTCTTCACTCAAAGGGCAGTGAATGTATGGAACTCACTACCCCAAAGTGCTGTTGACGCTCAGTCCTTGAACATATTCAAGACTGAGATGCATAGATTTCTTATTGGAAAAGGGATTAAGGGATATGGGGATAAGGCAGGGGTGGGGGGGAGGGGGGATATGGGGATAAGGCAGGGGTGAGGGGGGAGGGGGGATATGGGGGTAAGTCGGGGTCAGGTTGTTAGCTGGAGTTAGATTAGAAGATCAGCCATGAGTGAATGGTGGGGCAGAGGCTCGAAGGGCCGAATGTCTTTCTGCTCTATATGTTATGTTAACTATCGACACCCCCCACCGACCCGCTTCTCCTCACGGGGGTTGTTCCCAGAATTTGAGTGTTAATCCAGTGTTTAAGGGCGAGTTCCTGTGTAACTTGAAGTATTAATCCAGTGTGTAAATCTTAATCGGTCCCAGGATCTGTTACTGTAAAGCGCTCTGAGACGCCGTCCGGCGTGGAGGGGGCTATATGAATCCAAGTTGTTGTTGTTGTTAAGGCTGGTCTCCTTGTATGACCAAGTAGTTTTAATCCAGTGGGTAAAGACAAGCTCCCAGTGTATCCCGGTACAGTGTTAATCCAGTGGGTATATCTGATAACCAGTAGTTGTTTAATCCAGTGTTTATAGATAACTGGTGTAACCAAGTGCAGGGTTCATCCAGGGCATTGGGGCTGGTTCCCAGTGTAACCGGGGTTCAGTGTTAGTCCACTGCAAGGCTGTGTCCCTGTGCACCCAAACTATCTTAATTAGCAGCCGATTAACACAGTACAGTGTTAATTCAGTGGATTTCCAACTTCCATTACATGAGGCCAGAGCACAGATTGAACAGCAACAACTTGCATTTACACAGCGCCCCTCACGTGGGGTAGCGACCTGGGGCACTTGACAGTGGCGGAGTCTGACCCCGAACTGAAGGGGGAGGGAGGGAAGGGGCGAAGGGAGGTGACCGTAAGCACGATCAAAATGGAAACGGTCCTTAGGCGGGATTTGAAAGTGGGGAGGGAGGGAGAGTGTGACAGAGTTTCGGGGCAGTGTGGCTGAGCACAGAGGCACAGAGAGCAAACAAGTGACCAAAATTTCAGTGCAAATGGCATTTCACCAACAGCAGACTAACCCGAGCTGGAGCTGGAGCCGGCATCCCATCCTGACCAACACAGCCTAGTTCAGGTCAGGGCAGAAGGTGGCAGCCGTACACTATCACTGAGAGCCCTGAGGCGAGTACACCAGACGCACCACTAGGTAGCAACATCGTCGGCCGTGCCTTTTAATCAGATGTTATTACTGGTTGAGGTTAATGATTCAGTGCAGCGATTGGAAAAGAGAAGGGAGTTTTCCCAGGTGTCCTGGTTGACAATCCTCCGGGTAAATTAGTCATGGGCTTGGAGGCTGTGTCAAGGATTGTTGTTTTGTACAAACTGGCGGCTATGTTTGCCCAAATAACAGTCGCTGTGCTTCAGAGCAAGTTACCTCTGAAAGTCTCTTGAAAGTTTACACATTTTTAAGGGCTGTATCGAATGCAAAGGATTTTTGTTGTTATAAAATGCATGTCTGGAACAAATTGACCACATTGTATGATTACTTCACATTCAACACCTCAAGTTATACACAGTCACTATACTGCACAGGTAAAACCTCAAGTGTAATGTTATGCCTTCATAGGGTGAAACCTTAGGCAAGTTTCTTTACTCCGAATGCCTCTGTTTACCCAGTAATGAGCAGGAACCCGGTTGTTAGTCGACTGGTGGATTGCTTTATGGGGGTAATAATCCTTATAATCCCTTAAAAAAAAGTCACGCAATCCACGACTGTTTGTGGGACGCTGCTGTGTGCAATTGCCCACAAAATCTACACAGTCAATCCACTTTACAGTACATTTCTCTCCCCTGCCCTAACCGGGGGATTTTGCTCCCTTTCAAAACCCCTACTTCCGACAAAAGGTCACCGACCTGAAAGGCTAACTCACTTTCCTCTCTCCGCAGATGCTGCCTGACCTGCTGAGTGTTCCCAGCGACTTCTGCTTGTATTGCAGGGATTAATGTTTTATTTGCTTGGGTTGATGATGACTGTGCTGGATGACAGCTGACTACTTCACAGGATAGTAAATGAGGCAACTTTACAACTTCACAACAGAATATACAGTCAATTCACTTGGCAGTATATTCTGCGAAGCGCTTTGAGACGTCTCAATGACGTGCTAAGGCGCTGCATCAAAAGCGAGGATTATTATTATCCTCTGGAGCAGTGCTGTAGAATCCAGATTTCTACTGAGCTTCTGAACAAGTGTAAATCACACTGGTTGATCATTCGTACTTAACTGATCCGCATTTACATACGAAGAGGTCACCGATATCAAAGGGTATAATAGTGTTGCATTCGATACGGTGCCTTACCACGTCTTCGAGGTGTGTCAAAGCACTTCACTACATCAAAGTCAGGACAATCATCCAACACAAACAGTCATCGTAAACCTCAGGAAGTGAAATATTAATATATCAAAATATAAAGACAAGAGGTGAAACTCAGGAGCCAATTGCACACAGCAATGTCCCACAAACAATGAAGGAATTATTACCCCCAATAATCGACTGAACTGAGTTCCTACTTTACTGTGTTAAACTGAGGCTCGTGGAGCTGCCCGAGGTGTCCTCAGGAGAAAGTATTCCCACTGGCGGGTGGGCACGGTACCCCGTGCCACCCCCGAACCCCCCCCCGTGCCACCCCCGACACCCCCCCCGTGCCACCCCCGACACCCCCCCGTACCACCCCGACCCCCCCACCCGTGCCACCCCCGACCCCCCCCGTGCCACCCCTGACCCCCCCCCGTGCCACCCTGACCCCCCCCCCCGTGCCACCCCTGACCCCCCCCCGTGCCACCCCGAACCCCCCCCGTGCCACCCCTGACCCCCCCCCCGTGCCACCCCCGAACCCCCCCCGTGCCACCCCCGACCCCCCCACCCGTGCCACCCCTGACCCCCCCCCGTGCCACCCCCCCCCCCCGTGCCACACCCGACCCCCCACCCGTGCCACCCCCGACCCCCCCATGCCACCCCGACCCACCCCCCCGTGCCACCCCCGACCCCCCCCCGTGCCACCCCCGACCCCCCCCCCCGTGCCACCCCCGACCCCCCGTGCCACCCCCGACCCCCCACCCGTGCCACCCCTGACCCCCCCCCGTGCCACCCCGACCCCCCCCCGTGCCACCCCCGACCCCCCCCTGCCACCCCCGACCCCCCCCCCGTGCCACCCCCGACCCCCCCCCGTGCCACCCCCGACCCCCCCCCCCCCCGTGCCACCCCCGACCCCCCCCGTGCCACCCCCGACCCCCCCCCCCCCCCCCCGTGCCACCCCCGACCCCCCCCCCGTGCCACCCCGACCCCCCCCCCGTGCCACCCCGCCCCCCCGTGCCACCCCGACCCCCCCCCGTGCCACCCCCGCCCCCCCCCGTGCCACCCCGACCCCCCCCCCGTGCCACCCCGGACCCCCCCCCGTGCCACCCCCGACCCCCCCCCGTGCCACCCCGCCCCCCCGTGCCACCCCTGACCCCCCCCCCGTGCCACCCCCCCCCGTGCCACCCCTCCCCCCCCGTGCCACCCCCGAACCCCCCCGTGCCCCCTCCCCCCCGACCCCCCCCGTGCCGCCCCGACCCCCCCCCCTGACCCCCCCCCCGTGCCGCCCCTGACCCTCTAGCCCCGCCCACGTGAAATGAAGCCCCGCCCAGATGTCTCTGGCCCCACCCCCGGGCGGCGCAGTGACGTGTTTTCGGTGTCATGGCGGCTCAGAGGCGGCGGCAGCTGCAGACTGTGAGCGGCTGAAGTGGGGGTTCGGGGCCGCTCACCTCACAGCGCGGGGTCGGGGCTGAGGGGCCTACACCAGGGCCCGGAGCCGGGAGTACCGGAGGGGGAGGGGGGGGGGGAGGCTCCTGGGGTGTCGCCCCGAGGCCTCACTCAGGGCCTCAGGGCCTGGATCCTGAGGGTCCGAGAGAGAGAGAGAGAGAGAGAGAGAGAGAGAGAGTGAGTGTGAGAGAGAGAGAGAGAGAGTGAGTGTGGAGAGAGAGAGGAGTGAGTGTGAGAGAGAGAGTGAGTGTGAGAGAGAGTGAGTGTGTGAGAGAGTGAGTGTGTGAGAAGAGAGTGAGTGTGAGTGAGAGAGAGAGTGAGTGTGAGAGAGAGAGAGTGAGTGTGAGAGAGAGAGTGAGTGTGTGAGAGAGAGAGTGAGTGAGAGAGAGAGTGAGTGTGAGAGAGAGAGTGAGTGTGAGAGAGAGAGTGAGTGTGAGAGAGAGAGAGTGAGTGTGAGAGAGAGAGAGAGTGTGAGAGAGAGAGAGTGAGGAGATGAGAGAGAGAGAGAGTGTGAGAGAGAGAGAGAGTGAGTGTGAGAGAGAGAGAGTGAGTGAGAGAGAGAGTGAGTGTGAGAGAGAGAGTGAGTGTGAGAGAGAGTGAGTGTGAGAGAGAGTGAGTGAGAGAGAGAGTGAGTGTGAGAGAGAGAGAGTGAGTGTGAGAGAGAGGGTGAGAGAGAGAGAGAGTGAGTGTGAGAGAGAGTGAGAGAGAGAGAGTGTGAGAGAGAGAGTGAGTGTGAGAGAGAGAGAGTGAGTGAGAGAGAGTGTGAGAGAGAGAGAGTGAGTGAGAGAAAGAGTGTGTGATAACGAGGGAGAGAGAGCGAGTGAGAAAACGAGAGATAGTGAGAGAAAGCGAGAGGGACAGAGAGAGAGAGAGTGAGAGAGAGAGAGAGAGAGAGAGAGAACGCCGTATTGTCCGAGATCGGCTGAGAGCCCTCACTCACTCCGCGTCTGTGTCCAGTTCGGGCGAACGTTAAAGATCTCCCGCGACGCTGTTGGAAAAGTGAAGGGAGTCTTTCTCTCTCTCTCTCTCTCTCTCCCGGTGTCCCGGCCGACAAACCGTCCCCTCGCTTCGCGGCTGTTTACGGGTGGGGGGGAGGGGGGGGAGGGAGTAGCTGATCCGCTGCCGTGATCGCCCACGAAGCACACAGTCACTACACTTTTACGGCAAAGCCCCGGGAAGCGCTATCGGAGCACAGTCACCGGCCCCTTGAAGCACACGTAAAGCAAAGTGGATTTATTGTGTATTTAGTTGTGGGTGGAATCGGCAGATAATTCTGCGCCGCAGCGTTCCCACCGACAGTCGTGGATTGAGCGGCCAAATTATGATCAGTATTATTGTTACAGCAGCAACAACAACAACAACAACAACAACTTGCCTTTGTTTATGTAGCGTCCCTGAGCGCTTATAAGTCAACTCCTCGATAACTCTCCACTCCGAAGGAAACGTCCTCCCTGACTCGTTATCGAGAGCGGCGAGGCAGGCCGGCGTATAAGTACATCGTTAGATGCGGCCCGGAGATTGACAGCGCCGTGAGTTAAGTGGTAGTGACAGGTTACGCCAGGGTCGAGTTTATCAGTCACTCCGCCTTACAGTACATCCTGTGAAGCGCTTTAAGACGCCTCGACGACGGGCGTCATAATGCGCTGTATCAAATTCGAGGATTATTGCAATCAAAGCACACAGTCACTACACTTCAAATCACCACGGCTTCCAAAAAATTGGTCACTCAATCCACGACTGTTTATGGGGACATCCCTGGGCCCAATTTCCTGCCGCGTTTCACCCACAAAGCACACAGTCACTACGCTTGGCAGTGTATCCCGTGAAGCGCTTCGAGACGTCTCGAAGACGTGATCGGGCGCCGGGTCAAACGTAGGATTATTACCAGGAGTTGCTCCTGGAGTTGCTCCTGGAGTTGCTCCTGGAGATGCTCCTGGAGATGCTCCTGGAGATGCTCTTGGAGTTGCTGGGATGAATGGCCTGGGATGTCTCAATGGCTTTGTTGTGTTGTTGGCCCAGGAGCAGACCAGCTGGACAGATGACCTCCCTGTGTGCCAACTCTCGGGCATTGGGCACTGCACCAACCAGGTCTACCAGGCGGACGGGAGCAGCACAGAGGGGCACTCACTGGAGGATGGCTGGCTCCGGTTCCGGTCAGTCAATCAACCTTTACTCCTTCAAGGCCCGTCTCGCGACCCTCCTCTTTGACCGTGCCTTCGGTCACCCTCCTACCCCCCCCCGCCCTCCCCATCTTCCACCCCCTCCTGATCCCGACCCCCATCTCGGGTCCAAACGCCTGACTGTCCAGCGCCTGTGGATATCCTCCTGACGTTTGTGGAGTCCTGTAACTCAGTGGTTAGAGCACTCGCTTTGCAAGTGAGAGACCTGAGTTCAATCCCAGGCAGAGGGCCAAACCTCGGGCAAGTTTCCTTACTCCACACAGAGCCTAATAATAATCCCTCAAAACCCAAAACAATAATAAATTGGTCATTTTCAATCTACGACTGTTTGTGGGACATTGCTGTGCGCAATTGGCTGCCGCGTTCGCCCACAAATATACAGTCAATTCACTTTACAGTGTGTTCTGTGAAGCGCTTTGGGACGTCCTCCCGACGTGAAAAGCGCTATATCAAATGCAACGATTATTATTATTATTATAAACCTCACTCCCTGTCTGCCGGTGGACGTTAAGGATCTCTTTGGGAGGAAAGAGAAGAGGGTTGCGCCCTCTACCTCTCTCTCGCTCTCTGCCAATCTCCCCCAAAAAATTGGTCGCTCGCTCCACGACTGTTTGTGGGGACGTCGCTGGGCGCAATTAGCTGCCACGTTTCGCTCACAAAACACACAGTCACCACATTTTACCGTATATCCTGTGAAGCGCTTTGAGACGTAATAAGGCGCTGTATTAAACGCAAGGATTATTACTATTTTTTATCTGTACCCCCATCTCTCTCTATCTCTTCCCCCATCTCCCTCACCCCACCATCTCTCTCTCTCTCCCCCCCCCCCCCCAGGAGCGAGGACGATTGCTTTCTGTACGGGGTGTTCAACGGGTACGATGGCTGTCGGGTCTCCAAGTTCATGACCCAGAGGCTGACGGCAGAGCTGCTGCTGGGGCAGCTGAACCACAGCCACAGTGATGCTGATATCCGCAAGGTCCTGCTGCAGGTACACAGTCACCCTCCGTCCGTGTTACGATCTTCACGGAGTCCTGCAGCTCAGGGGTTAGACCCCTCGTCTCGCAAACGAGAGGACCCCGGTTCGATTCCTGGGCGGGACAGGACAGGGCGAAACCTTAGGCAAGTTTCCTTACTCCACACAGAGACACACACGTGCCCACAGACGCACACGCATTCACACAGACACACACATGCACACAGACTCAACACATACGCACATATGGTCGATTGACGAATCTCTTTCCGGGGTTAATAATACCTTCCAAAAAGTAAAATAAAACAATGATAATTTGTCTGTGTATCCATGACGGTTTGTGTGACACTTACTGCGGGTATTTGGCTGCCGCATTTCGCCCACAAAGCACAGTCACTTCACTTTACAGTGAATCCTGTGAAGGGCTTTGAGACGTATCGAAGACGTGATAAGGCGCTGTATCAAATGCGAGGGTTATTATGGTAATAAGTGTAAATAGTGGATGTGGTCAGCATGTTCCTTTGTGTTTGCTTCAAGTGCTTTCTCAGCCTGTTTCTCAGTCAATCAAAGATTAAACTCGGACACACCTGATCAGCTTTAGATCGTGCGATTAGGCAGTAAACCGGTTTATCCACCCAACGGCTAAACAGCTTCAAAGGGTAGCCCTGGAACTGATCCAAAGGAGATACATTGAAAGGTCCCGTTTGTGTCATTGAACGAAGTAAAGACTAAATCTTTGGGAGTCAGCCGGGTGTCTGACACACACGGAAACCCGTCACCGTGACCAGCCGGGTGTCTGACACACACGGAAACCCGTCACCGTGACCGGCCGGGTGTCTGACACACACGGAAACCCGTCACCGTGACGGGGGTCTGACACACACGGAAACCCGTCACCGTGACCAGCCGGGTGTCTGACACACACGGAAACCCGTCACCGTGACCAGCCGGGTGTCTGACACACACGGAAACCCGTCACCGTGACCAGCCGGGTGTCTGTCACACACAGAAACCCGTCACCGTGACCGGTCAGGTGTCTGACACACACGGAAACCCGTCACCGTGACCGGCCGGGTGTCTGTCACACATGGAAACCCATCACCGTGACCGGCCGGGTGTCTGACACGCACGGAAACCCGTCACCGTGACCAGCCGGGGCCGTCGCTGGACGCAATTAGCTGCCACATTTCCCCCACAAAAAACACAGTCACTCCACTTTACAGTATATCCTGTGAGGTCTTTGAGACGTCTCGAAAGCGTGATGAGGGGCTGTAATAATAATCCTTGCGTTTGACACAGCTTCTTATTACAGACGCCTCAAAGCTCTTCCCAGAACGTACAGTAAAGTTAATTGACTGTATTTTGTGGGCGAGACATACCTAAGTCCTAATCACCTTGGATCTGTGCAAAGATTCCTCTTTGTCTCAAGCATTAACTGTTCCATGACCCTATTTGTGTAAGGGCTTAGTGTAAATGCACCCGTCTTTGATTTTAAGGCTCTGCTGCCTTTTGCAATGACCAGAAGGGAAGGAGTTGTCTGTTTTCTAACATGTTGTTCAAATAACTCATCATCTCCTAACCTCTGCTCCCAATTTACCCAAACCCTCATCACAGCCAAAGCCTTGAGCCCAGTCATTAATCTACAGGGTGTTCACAAAGTTCTGTTACCCCTCACACTCTCTCTCACTCACCGATTCTCTGGACGTCTAAATACAGTTAATAATAATAATGATATTCCTTGTATTTGATTCAGCGCCTTATCATGTTGTTGAGGCGTCGCAAAGCGCTTCACAGGATACACTGTAAAGTGGAGTGAATGTATATTTGCAAAGGAAACACGGCAGCCAATTGCGCACAGCAGTGTCCCACAAACAGTCGTGGATTGAAGTGACCAAATTATTATTTTTTGAAGGGAGTATTACCCCCGGAAAGCGATCCCCGAATCGCTTGACAGCCGGGTTCCTACTGACTGCTGGGGACACAGGCGTGTGTGTGTGTGCGTGTGCGTGTGGAGGAAGGAAACTTGCCCATCGTTTCACCCTGAGTCGGGAATTGAACCCGGGTCCTCTCGCTTGCGAGGCGAGGGGTCTAACCGCTGAGGGACTCCACAAAGGTCTCTCTCACGCTCTCTCTCTCTCTCTCTCTCTCTCTCTCTCCGCAGGCCTTTGACGTGGTGGAACGCAGTTTTTTTGAATCGATTGACGATTCTCTTGCAGAAAAGGCCAACCTGCAGTCCCAGCTCCCCGAGGTAACAGCCCACTTTCTCACCCATTTGCGGAGTGTGTTGCAGTGAGTGCAAACCGCCGGCCCACTCGCCCACAAAACGCACAGTCACTACAGTTAACAGGAGTCCTGTAGCTCTGTGGTTAGAGCACTCACCTCGGAAGCGAGAGGACCTGGGTTTGATTCCCGGGCGAAACATTGGGCAAGCTTTCTTATTCCACAGATACATACACACACATAGACACACACACACATAGACACACACACACACCACCCCCCAACCCAGGTCCCTCCACCTTGCCCCATCCCTTCCCCCACCTTCAAACCCCAGCACTGAAGACCTTTTAGATCGTGCTTATGGTCACCTCCCTCCCTTCCCCACACCCCACGGCTGGGGTGGGGGGTGGTCAGACTCCCCCGCCATCAGGCGCTCCGAGACGCTACCCCACGTGAAGGGCAAGTGGTTGTCGTTGACCTGTGCCTGACGTCCACAGGGTGTACCCCATCACCAGTACCAGAAGCTGCTGGACAAACTGAGTAAAGTGGAGCGTGAGATCACAGGCGGCACGACAGCCATTGTGGCCCTGATACTGAACAACAAGCTCTACATCGCTAACATAGGTACAGTGTTAAGCGTTCCGGGACGTTAAGCCCACGTGAGGAGCGCTATATAACTCGTCCTGTCTTAACCGCTGTCGTTTGCCCGCAAGACAGACTTGCTGTGCAGTCGCTACACTTACAGTAAATCCTGCGACGCACTTCAAGATGGAGGGGATGCGTTCAAAATCCTCGTCCTTAATGGCTTTTACGGGGGTAATAATCCCTTCAAAAAAACAATAATAATAATTTGGTCACTCAGCCCACGGCTGTTTATGGGGACGCTGCTGGGCGCAATTGGCTGCCGCGTTTCGCCCACAAAGCGCAGTCACTACACTTTGTAGTGTAGTGTATCCTGTGAAGTGCTTTGAGACGTCTCGAAGACGTGATGAGACGGTGTGTCAAATGCAAGGAATATTATTATTAATATTATTTATCGAGCTCTCCAGATCTCTGAGCCTCTCAAGATCTCCCACCTCAACCTACAGGGCGTGCAATCCCACGTCACGCACACGCGCACACACACACGCACACCCCGCCATGTCATCGTGCTCCCATTATAAAGTAAAAATAATAATAATAATCCTCGCATTCGACACAGCGCCTTCTCACGTCTTCGAGACGTCTCTAAACGCTTCACTGGATACGCTGCAGCGTAGCACTGGGTAGTGTGCAGTATAGTGACTGTGTGTCTGACGGGGCAATCGCTGTCAGGTGCTTTGGGCCATTTCAAGGCCATCGTTAGGCGGTGAGAGAGCGGAGAGCGCTTGCTGAGATCGTGTTGGCTTGGCTCCCAGGAACTAACCGTGCGTTGCTGTGTAAATCCACGACTGACGGACAGCTGCAGGTCACTCAGATCAGCGTCGATCACACCACAGACAACGAGGACGAACTCTTCCGCTTGTCACAGCTCGGTGAGTGTCTCTACCCCACCCCCCCCACCCCCTCCCTCTCGCTCTCCCCCCGTGAGTGCCTCTTCCCTCGGTCTGATCAGTCCTCACCTCTGTATAGTTCCCCAATCTAATCAGTGCTCCACCTGTGTGTGTGTGTGTGTGCAGTCGTCCTGTAGCTCAGTGGTTAGACCCCTCGCACACACACACGCGCCTCTGTTTACCAGCAGTAAGTAGGACCCCGGTTGTTAGTCGATTGGGGGATCGCTTTCCGGGGGTAAAAATCCTTCCTTCCCCCCAAAAAATTGGTCACTCAATCCACGACTGTTTATGGGGACATCCATGGGCGCGATTGGCTGCCGCGTTTCGCCCGCAAAATATCACAGTCACTACACTTGACAGTGTATCCCACGAAGCGCTTTGAGACGTCTCAAAGACGTGATAAGGCGCTGTGTCAAATGTGAGGATTATTATAATTATTATTGTTATTATAATTATTAAATACAGTCCCCAATCTAATCAGTGCTGACCTGTACCCAGTCCACGTAGGAACAGAAGGAGCCCATTCAGCCCTTCAAGTCTGTTCCGCCATTCTATGGCTGATCTGTAGCCTCGACTCTAAATCTTGAAATGAAACCCAGGCAAATCAGTAGCCATCTCCACGTCTCTACTAGCCCCCCAATGCGTACATGGGGCTGTGAACTCACCCGCTCTTCCTCCCCCACCCCCCCATTACCCCCAATTTGCCCAGTGGGGTGTCCAGGAGGTTTGATTAGGGTCTCAAGAGTTTTTGTGCTCTCCCCCCCCCCCCCCCCCACTCTCACCCACACCCAGGTCTGGACCCGGCAAAGATCAAGCAAATAGGGGTCATCGGTGGTCAAGAAAGTACTCGCAGAATCGGAGATTACGGCATGAAATACTGCTTCAGCGATGTTGAGCTGCTCAGGTAAGTCGAGGTGGTGGGGAGTCAGTCTCTCTCTCATTCTCTCTCTCTCTCTCTCTCTCTCTGTACACGTTCCCCCTCTCCCCCCTCCCCCCACTCCTCTCTCTTAACAGAAATGGCAGCAGAGATCGTGGAGATTAGGGGGAAGTGTTTTCGCGAGGCGGAAGCTTTCACACAATCTGCATGTAGGTCACCCTTGAGGTTAGCAGAGCAGATCTGTGTCAGACTTTCAACAGAAAGCCTCGCTGCCTTCGACCGAGAGCGAAAGAGAGAGAGACAGACAGAGAGGCAGACAGAGAGAGAGTCGTATAGGAAGTAACAGCATGAAGTTGCACATTCTGTCCATCTTTTCGCAAGAGTGGATTTTCATTCCATTTTACATCACAATAATAACAATCTCTGCCTTTCACACGGCGCCCGATTGCGTCTTCGAGACGTCTCAAAGCGCTCCACAGGACACACTGTAGTGACTGTGTCATCCATGGGCGAAACGCGGCAGCCAATTGCGCCCATCAACGTCCCCCCACAAACAGCCGTGGATTGAAGCCGACGGTTTATTATTGTTTTTTTTTAAGGGATTATTACCCCGGGAAAAGCGATCCGCCAATCGACTTAACAACTTACTCGACGTGCCTGTTTACTTACTCGCTTGCTCGCTCGCTCACTCACTCACTCGCTCACACGCTCGCTCACACACACACACTCACTCGCTTACACACTTACACACTCACTCACTCACTTGTGTGTGTGGAGTAAGAAAACACAGAACAGAAGTCGAAACCATGTCCTCATGCTTGCAATGCGAGTGCTCTAACCACTAAGCCACAAGACTCCTGACTAGAAACAGGAGGAGGCCATTCAGCCCCTCGAGCCAGTTCCGCCATTCTATAAGATCACAGCTGATCTGTACCTCAAGCCTTTGCCCCATATCCCTTAATACCCTGAGCTAATGTCTCCACCTCAGCCTTGAAGATGCAAATGGATCCAGACATATTCCGCAGCCTTTAGGGGGGGGAGAGAGCTCCAGATTTCCACAACCCTTTGGGTGATAAACTGCCTCTTAATTTCACTCCTAAATGGCGTGGCTCTGATTTGAAAATGACACCTCCTTTATTCTGGATTTCCCCCACATTCCAGAGGAAAGTTTCTCTGTGTTACAAGCTGCGTCAGCGCTGAATCCTCAGGGTTCCCCCCCTCTCTCTCTCTCTCTCTCTCTCTGATTCCCTGCAGCTGTGCCAAGGCCATGCCTATCATTGCCGAGCCTGAGATTCACGGTGGACAGAAGCTGGATGGAGTGACGGGTTTTCTGATGCTAATGTCTGACGGACTTTACAAGGCACTGGAGTCGGCCCATGGACAAGGGCAAGCGAACCAGGTGACGCGAGCCAGACTTTGAAGGGCTTTCTGCTATTTATACACAGTGTATATATATATCTCTCTCTCTCTCTCTCTCTCTCTCTCTTCTGCGGTCAGTCGGGTTCCACAGGAAACCCACCAACGTGCTTCACACAGTGCAATCCAGATAGAGAGCTGCACGTGTGTCTGCGACCCCATATTCTTGATATTAATATTAATCTCCCAGTCCAGGCTGACACACCGGCGCTGTGTTGGGGGATCGCTCCTGACGTGGGGTTCGAACCCACAACCTTCTGACTCGGGAGACAAAGGTGCGACCAGCCGAGCCAGTCACAGGACACACCGTAAAGCGTAGTGACTGTGTGTTGTGCGGGCGAAACATGGCAGCCAATTGCTCACAGCAGCGTCCCCACAAACAGCTGTGGATCGAGTGACCACATTTTTTTGGGGGGTTTGGGGGTCGGGGGGAGGGATCATTACCCCCAGAAAAGCGAGAAAATCACAATCAATTATAATAATAAGCCTCGCATTTGATACAGCGCCTGATCGCACCTTCGAGCCGTCTCAAAGCGCTTTACGGGATACACCATAACGTGTAGTGACTGTGTGTTTCGTGAGCGAAACAAATTCTCTTTACAGTGCATCCTGTGAAGCGCTTTGAGGCGTTTCCTGATTAGACGCAGTATCGAATGCATAACAATGATTATGATTACGATGACTATATCTCTCCCTCTCTCTCCCCCTCCCTCTTTCTCTCCCTCTCCCCCTCCCTCTCCCCCTCCTCTCCCCCTCTCTCTTTCCCTCTCTCCCTCCCTCTCTCCCTCTCCCCCCTCTCTCTCCCCGTTTCTCTCTCCCTCTCCCTCCCCACCTCTCTTTCTCCCCCCCTCTCTCTCCCTCCCTCTCTCCCTCCCCACCTCTCTTTCTCCCCCTCTCTCTCCCCCTCCCTCTCCCCCTCTCTCTCTCTCTCTCCCTCCCTCTCTCCCTCCCCACCTCTCTCTCTCCCCCTCTCTCTCCCCCTCCCTCCCTCTCCCCCTCTCTCTCTCTCCCCCTCCCTCCCTCCCTCCCCCCCCTCTAATGGGGGTGGGGGCTGCAGGAGATTGCAGCGATGGTGGCCACGGAGTTTGCCCTGCAGACCACCCTGGACGGGGTAGCCCAGGCCGTGGTGGACCGCGTCCGGCGGATTCACCGCGACACCTTCGTGAGCGGGGGAGACCGCTCGGCCTTCTGCGAGAAGCACGAGGACATGAGCCTCCTCCTCCGCAACTTCAGCTACCCCCTGGGGGAGATGAGCCAGGCCAACGCCAGCCCCACACAAGGTACCACCATCCATCGATAGACAGTGAACGCCCCCTTGCTCTGCGTACCCACAATTTGCTTTGCTGCGTGCGTGTGTGGGGTGGGGGGAACGTGGTTGGGCCTAATTGGCTTCCCCGCAAAATACACAGTCACGACACCTCACGGTAAATCCTGATGAGACGCTGTGTCAAACGCGAGGGCCGTTGTCGCGAGCCTTCCTCGACACGGCGACTGCGTGTTTTGCGGGCGATACTGCTTACCCCACCGACCCGCTGCCTCCGCTCGACTGGCTCTGATTGTGCCCCCACTCCACCAGCGGCGGCCGCGCTCTCAGCCACCGCGCCCCGAAACTCTGCCGCTCTCTCCCTCAATCCCAACCCCCCGATCTGGGACGCTCCCCCTCCTGACGGGCGCTGTGTAAAGGCAAGTTGTCGTCGTCATCGCCAGGAGGACGTATCTACCCGGTGTCCGTGCCTTACACCAGCACCCAGGCCACGCTCGGGAAGACCAGCGTCACCCTTTCCCTCGTGATGCCATCGCAGAACCAGCTGGTGAACGGCAACCACAGCAACTCGACGGGCGACGAGACCACACCAACACTCACCAACAGGTGGGTAACCGACACCCAGTGTTGACTTCAGACGGTCGAGGGGGTCATCCCTGGTCCAGTTCCTGAGCCGTGGGGGTGCAGAGTGTCCCGGGGCAGCACTGGGTACTTTGTGGGAGAAAAATAATAATAATCTGGTCACTTTGCGGGGACATCGCTGGGCGCAATTGGCTGCCGCGTTTCGCCAAAAAGATACACAGTCACTACACTTCACCCTGCTTTGAGACGTCTGGACGACGTGTGATAAGGCGGTGCATCAAACGCCAGCGTCGTTACAGTGACGATTGATGTGCTTTAACCCCTTCACAGCCAAAGCCCGACGGCAACCCTCCAGTCCACCACCACCCACACCCAAAGCAGCAGCTCGAGCTCTGGCGACGGACACGGACACCTGTTCCACCGGCACCGGCTGCCGCAGACGCTCCAGCCGGACGAGGACGGGCGGGTCGAGCCGTATGTGGACTTCCTGGAGTTTTACCGGCTGTGGACGGTGGATCACGGTGAACAGCTGCTGGCGGGAGCCCCTTAGATACCCCCACCCTGGCCTGGCAATCTAGGCCTCGCCAGGAAGCCCAACACAGGGTGCTCTGTCTCGCTCGCTCTCTCTCTCGCTCGTCGTGTTTCGCCTGCAAAATATACAGTCACTTCACCTTTGCCGCGTATTCTGTCGATCGCTCTTGAGACGCCAGGCGAGTGCAAGTTGTTGCTGTCTTTGTCTCGAAGGCGCGATCAGGCGCTGCACCAAATGCGAGGATTATTATTAATATTATTATTTTTAGCGCCTTCACCTGTTCCGTAGGAAGGTGGTGCGGTCGGCGTACTCGCCTCGCGGGTGAGAGGACACGGGTTCGATTCCCGGGCGAGTCAGGTCAGGGCGAAACCTTAGGCAAGTTTTCTTACTACAGACACACACACACGCACACACACAGACACACACACACACACACACAGACGCACACAGTCACACACCTCTGTTTACCAGCGGTCAGTAGGAACCCGGTTGTTAGTCGATTGACGGATCGCTTTCCGGGGGGTAATAACCCCTCAAAAAAAATCGGTCACTCAACCCACGGTTGTTTGTGGGGACGTCGCTGGGCGCAATTGGCTGCTACGTTTCGCCTACAAGATGCACAGTCACTACACTTGACAGTGAAGTGACAGTGACTGTGAAGCGCTTTGAGACGTCTGAACGACGCGATAAGGCGCTGTGTCAAATTCAAGGATTATTGTGGTTATGATCGATTGATACCATAGGAACAGGAGGAGGCCATTCAGCCCCTCGAGCCTGTCCTGCCACTTCTGTCAGATCGTGGCTGATCTGTACCTCAACTCCAATTCCCCGCCGATGCCCTGACCTCTAACAAACATCTCTCCACCTCAGTCTTGAAAGTATCCGCAGTCTTTTGGGGGAAGAGAAAAAAAATGCTTCTTAATTTCTTAGCCCCAAATTTCAGGGGATTATTTTCCCTCTCGTTCTGGATTCCCTCACCCAGGAAATAGTTTCTCTGTGTCTATCCTTTAGAGTCCCTTTCTCCTCAGTCACCTTTCCTCTCTCTCTCACACACACACATGCATACACACACATCTACGCGCACACGCATGCGCACACACAAACTCACGCACATATATACACGTCTTAAAAGACAGATAGAGAGAAGGTGAGGCAGAGGGGGAGAGGAAGACAGAGAGAGATGGACAGATAGAGGGAGAACGAGAGACGGGTAGAAGTAGAGGAGTTCAAGAGGTTCGTGAGTACACAGTCACTCACTCAAATAACTCCCTGTGAAGCACTTTTGAGATGTTTTGACGTAACAGACGCCCCAATGCAGGGATTATTGGCTTATTATTCTTGTTACCGTAGAGTCCTGTAGCTCGGGTTTGACCCCTCGCCGCGCGAGCAAGAGGACCTCGAGTCCTGACCCAACTGTCCAGCGACGGGAAAGGCGCTCTATAAATGGAATCTTGTTGTTGTTGTTGTTGTTGTGCTGGGGTTCGATTCCCGGGCAGGGAAATGCGAGGATTATTATTGTTAAATTCTCGAAACGCATTGCACTTTGTGTCCTGTTATGTTTCTTTCTCTCCGCCTTCCCCCGAACTCTTCCCCCCTTCCCCCATCCCCCCATCCAGGCCACAATTAGTGGGTACGGAGAGGGGGAGAGAGGGATTACCTCCTAATTTGTCACATACTCTCACCACGTACCCAGCGGGGCTGTGCAGGAGGCAGCTGTTGTGGGCGATGACTGGCATTTAATACATGAGATGCCAAGACAGATGGTAATTTGTACCATCCAGTGCAGGGGAGCGAGTGGACAATAGCCTCCGAGACGGAGAAGTGCAGTGTGTGTGTATTTTTGTGCTGTGCGTGTCTGTAATATGCAAGTCTTACATGTGAGCGTGTATGTCTGTGTGCGTATGGGTATGTCTTCCACATGGAGGGGTTAGAGCCCTCGTCTCGCAAGCGAGAGGGACCCGGGTTCGATTTCCGGGCCAGGGCGAAACGTTGGGCAAGTTTCCTCACTCCACACGCACACGCATGCACACACACACACAGACACGCATACACACGCCTCTGTTTACCCAGCATTAAGTTAGTTGTTAGTCGATTGGCTCTTCCGGGGGTGGTAATCCCTTCAAAAAAATAATAATAATTTGGCCGCTCAACCCACGGCTGTTTGTGGGGACGCTGCTGTGCGCAATTGGCTGCCGCGTTTCGCCCACGAAACACATAGTCACTCCACTTTACAGCATATCTCGTGAAGCGCTTTGAGACGTCTCAAGGCGCTATATCAAACGCGAGGATTATTATTGTGTACGGCTGTACGAGTGTGTGTACATCTATGGTGTGTGAGCGTCTTTTGTGCAGTTGTCTGTGTACTACAGTAAAGATTTAGATCTTTGTACGTGTTGGTTTATCTTGAACTGAAGAGTAGAACCAGAGGACACGATCCGCGAGTAAAGAGGGAAGTAAATTCAGAATAAACCTGTGGAAACACTAGTGCAGTGAGCAAGTCTTAAACCCATGGAACAGGCTCTCTCTCTCTCTCTCTCTCTCTCTCTCGACAAGTTGGTGGAAGCAAAAAATGTTCGTTTCAAGAGCAAACTTGACAGATTTCTGCTCGAAAATAACCTCTGAGGGGAAGGATACAGTATATAGTTTGGGGCACGTCAGGTTTGGTGGGAGGCCAACGAGGTGGATCTTGGAATAAATTGACTGGTTCTGACCTCAGCGAAGGGAGGAATTTCCTCACTAAATTGTGTTGTGTCCCAGAGTGTTGCGAACCTTTTCTCTGACTCATTCTACATTATTACACTCACCGCCAGAGGAAGTGTTTCAATGGCTTCCACCATCCCCCAGAGCATCGAGTTCCAAGATCGAGTCCCTCACCTTCAAAGCCCTCGGTGGCCTCGCTCCTCAATATTCCCGGCCTGGCTCATCAGCAGGACCTGGAAGGGCTGACCAGTAACTGGGAATCTTCCCCCCCCTCAGCTCCTGTTAACCCTCCAACTCACTAACTAACTAATGGAAGGGGAGGGTGGTCCGAGCTGGACGAGCAGCGGGAAAGCTTGATCAGACAGCGCTCTCTCTCAATGGCCAAACTACTGTGGTTTAAGCTGGTGAGACTCCAGCAGTTACCCCCCCCCACCCCCCAACGCACACTCTCAGGCTCCCCCTCAAACCAACCTGCGCCTAACGCTCTCCGGAATTGGGCGTCCCTCCAGGGAGAGAGAGAGAGAGCGCATTCCATTCCAATAAAAATCTCTGGGATTTCCATGGGTGGGCAGTGGGGGGGGGGTGGGGGGGGACGCCTGGAATTCTCAGCCGGGTTTGGAGACTGTTGAAGCCACGGTGACGGGTTTCCTCGGCGCGGGTCGGCCGCCCACCAGGTTGGCCGGAAAACGACGCTCGCCTCGGTCCAGCAGGCGGCAATGTGATGGCCATTTGCAGAGGGACCTCAGCTTTATTATGTGCGTGGACCCAAAATTAGAAGGTTGTGCAAGTTTCCCGGCTCCGTCGATTAAGGGACGCCCAATTCCAGGTTGCGCCCAGCTGCGGAGTGCTGTAATGGCATAGACACAGCCCACATGTAGTTTCCCCCACCCCACACCCCTCCCCTAAAATAACCCCCAAAAGCTCTTCGTCTCAAGAAGGCGCTATAATCAAATGCAAGGATTATTATTAATAATTAGGTGCAGGTCGGGCGAGAGCCAAGGCTTGGGGGGTGGGGGGGAGCACAGAGTGGCGTTGATTGGTGGGGTGGGGTGGGGGGGCAACTGCTGGAGTCTAACCAGCTCATACCACACATGGAGGGAGAGCGAGCGCTGTCTGGCCAAGCTTTCCCACTGCTTGTCCAGCGAGGACCACCCTTCTCCCATTAGGGTTTTGGCGGAGAGTGAACAGGAGCTGAGTAGGAGGACAAGTGCCTTCACAGGACACACGCTGTAAAATGTAGTGACTTGTGCATTTTGTGGGCGAAACGCGGCAGCCGATTGCACCCGGCTGCGGATCGAAGTAAACAATTCATCGATTTAGAAGAGGGATTTATAATAATAATAATAATAATAATAATTGCATTTGATACAGCGTTTCTCGCGTCTTCTCGACGTCTCAAAGCGCTTCGCAGGATAGACTTGCGGCTGACGGGTGGGCCTGAGGAATGTCGTGCTGTTAAGATCTTCGGAGGGGGGACAGCAAAGCAAAGTCAGAGAATGTTCCCGAGCCGATGTTACAAAAATAACAAGAGAGGTTGTTTCACACCGCGCCCTTGGGGTTGGGTAAATCTCTTTTTTTTTTGGACGAGAATCAACCTGTGTGGCTTTCACTCTCACTCTCACCGAAGTAAACATCTTGAAAACTTAAAAGGATAATAATTCGGTCACTCGACTGTTTGTAGGGACGTCGCTGGGCGCAAAGGTCTCGCCCACAAAACACACAGTCACTCCACTTTACATTGTATCCCGTGAAGCGCTTTGAGATGTCTCGAAAAGACGTCGTGGTAAGGTACTGGGTCAAATGCAAGGATTATTATTATTATTATTTTACTGCACAGAAGGAGGCCATTCGGCCCATCATGCCTGCCACCAACTCGTCCCACTCCCCCCGCTCTTACCCCATAACGTTGCACATTTTTTATTTTCAAGTCCCTATCCAATTCCCTTTCGAACGTTGTTATCGAATCTGCTTCCACCCATTCTTCAGACTTGTGGAGTCCTGTAGCTCAGTGGTTAGAGCACTCCCCTTGCAAGCGAGACATCTCCAGGCAGGTCAGGGCCAAACCTTGGGCAAGTTTCCTTACTCCACACAGAGCCTAATAATAATCCTCCAAAACCAAAAACAATAATAAATTGGTCATTTTCAATCCACGACTGTTTGTGGGACATTGCTGTGCGCAATTGGCCGCCGCGTTCACCCACAAATATACAGTCAATTCACTTTACAGTATATTCCGTGAAGCGCTTTGGGACGTCCTCCCGACGTGAAAAGCGCTATATCAAATGCAAGGATTATTATTATTATTATTAACAACTTGTTGCGTAAAGAAAAATTCTCCTAGTCTCCCCTCTGGTTCTTTTGACAGTTATCTTACATCTGTGTCCGCCAGAGGAAACAGTTTCTCCCCCGATCTACTCTATCAAAAGCCCTCATAATTTTGAACTCCTCTCTATTAAATCTCCCCTCAACCTTCTCTCCTCTTGAGCAGAACAATCCCAATCTCTCCGCCTATGTAAATGTTAGTGTGTAAATAGATAAATAACTGTGGACGGGATATTTAATGACTTAAGTGGTAGTAATAAGTTAAGATAAGATTGAGTTATCAGGAGATTACAGTAGGTCCTCATTGAGGAGTAATGCACATTGCGGGAAAAAGTATGTCAGAATCCTTT